TTTGGTTGTTTTTTCCTTCCTTTTTATTTTAAAAGCTGCCCCCACCTCTGGGTGTGTGTTCAGCTGAGCCCACCTGCAGCCACGGGGGGGCTGGGAGGGACCCCCCTCAAGCTTCCAGAGACAAAAAAAAAAAATAAAGGGAGGGAAAAGAAAGAACAGAACCCAAAGGCCCAACCCTGGAAAACCAGCCTTCCCCACCCCAGAGAAATAAGAACTAAAACCAACCCAAACCAAAAAACAAAACCCCAGATCACAACAGTAGGTTCGCTTTGTCACTTTTAGTGTATGATACAAGTTTACACGGTTAGAGGGGATCACGAGGGAAGGAGCCCGAAGTTAAGTTACTGCAATAATGACTCACACAAACACCCTACCCCAAGCACAGGCGCTAACGAACAGAGCGAGGAGAAAGTTTCTTTTCAGGCTGTTTTGTTTTGTATTTTCTCCTTCCGGGGAGGACAAGGGGGAACGCAGGGAGGGCCCCGCTGTGCTGGGGACCTGGGGCACAACGGGGGGAGCAGCTGGTGACACCGAGCCCAGGGTGGGGGTGGCAGAGCCCCCGGAGCTGAGCAGGAAGGGGGTGTGTGTGGGGTCAGTGGCAGCGGGTGACACCAGGGTCTGGGAAGAGCCCCCCCAGACTCACCATCAGTGGGTCTGTCCTGGGCTCTGGCAGCAGCTTCATCTCCTCCTGGTTCCTCCACAGGCAGAGCCAGAGGGACCCCAAAGTCCTGTCGTCTTCCCCCACCCCAGCTCTGGGGCAGCTCCACGGTGCTGGAGGTGTTGGTGCTGGGGGTGTTGGTGCCAGGAGGTGCTGGTGCCAGGGTGTTGGTTCCAGGTGTTGGTGCTGGGGGTGTTGGTGCTGGGGTGTCGGTTCCAGGAGGTGCTGGTGCCACCACTCTCCCTCCAGGCTCCCCCAGAGCCTTTACTTTCCTCTGCCAAACAACCATCTCCTCCTCCTGGGGGAGCTGCAGCTGTTCTGGGGGCACCGAGTGTCCCAAGGCCGGTGCCACCTCCGGGATGGTGACCAGGGACGTGGTGTGTCCGGCCAGCGAGTGGAGCCCAGAGGGGCTGGGGGGAGAGGGGTTTTCTCTGTGATGATGGAGGGAATCGGCCTCTCCCCGGGGCTCCCGGGAAAATACCAAATGAGCAACATTCCCAAGGAGAGGGGGAAAAAGAGAAAAACAAAAAAAGGTGGATTTTGCTGTGATGTCATTGCCAGCTCAGATGTCTCTGTCCTGTGGTGGAGACACCCCCTGGTCCCTAGGGCCTGCTTGGCCGGGCGCCCCTTCCCTTATCTGGGAAGAGACTCGTGGTGTGAAAGAAGAGCTGAGACTTGGGCTTGTGAGCGTGGGGTGGAGGTGTCCTCCCCTCCTCATCCCCACGGGACGAAGGCAACTGTCCCTCCCCACAGGCTGTGGGCTGAGGACAGAGCAGCCAACAGTGAACAAACTATTTGTTCTCCCCAGGAGTGGGGCAGCAGGTCCTGACTCTGCCCTTCGTCCCCTGTACAAGGTGGCAGCCACAATTCCTGCCTGGGGCAGGGGGGAGGTTCTGAGACCCCCACCCATGGGGGACACTGGCCGAGGCGTGAGCCAGGTCCTGGTTGCTCTTCATGGCTCCTTGATCCGAGCCCGTGTAGAAACGCTGCCCAGGAGGAGCAGCCCAGGAGGGCCCCGCAGCCCCCCGAGCACCCTGGTTGTGCCTCCCCCCGGGGGCTCTAGTTGTCGGGGCTGGCGTTCTGGCGGGCGCGGATGAAGGCCATGCCGTGGGTGCGGAAATGTGTCTTGAGGTTGAGCTGGCTGTCGAAGCCGCGGCCGCACACCTTGCAGCTCAGTTTCCCGTCGGGCGGGTGCTGAGCGCCGCCCTCCCGGGGGCTGCGCGGCCCCGGCTCCTCCAGCTCCCCTGCCCCCTTCTTCTTCTTGTGGGTAATGAAGCGGTGGCGGTTGAGGGAGACCTGGGAGGTGAAGCAGAGGCCGCACTCGCGGCACTGGTGGGAGCTCTCGTCAGTCCGGTGCTGGGGAATGTGCTCCTGGAAGTCGGCGGCGCTGCTGGCCAAGTACCCGCACTTGCGGCAGCGGAAAGGGGCCCTGCGGTCGCCCTTGGGGGTCTTGGAGGGGGGGGTGGTGCTGTCAGGCTCCTCGCTGCACGAGTCGCCCTCGTCTGAGGAAAGTTTCCGCTTCCTCCCAGAAACCTGTGGAAATGGGTGGGATCAGCTTTCCTGATTCAAGCAGCTCCTGGAAGGACTTGGCCTCCTCGGGGTTTTCCCACCCACTCCCACAGGTATTTGCTCAGATCAAGGCTCCACAGGCCTGGCCCAGCCCAGGACCTGTGTCCCTGCCCCAGGAGCTGTCCCCCTGCCCCGTAACCCCAGCCCAGGGGCTCCCACAGCAGCCTTGGTCTTGCCCGTGCCCCTCACTACTCCTAAAGAAGCTCCAGGCAAGAGGGGTGTTTTCCCTTCCCTCCCAGTGAGAGGCTGAGGCTGCCAAGTTCCGTCCCAGCCATGCCAGCAGGGAGAGGCAGGGAACAAGGAAGATAGGGCCCACACCCACCCAGTGGGTGCTGGGCCTTGGTGGGTCCTGGCACTGCCGGACATGTGGGGGCAGGAGCAGAGCAGAGCCTGGGTCAGAGCGATGCCTTCGGCCCTGCCCAAAACCCCCCCGAGGCCCCGGCCCTTTGTGAGCACCCCAAGCCCACAGAGCCCTGGTACCTGCGTGGGTCCGGTCCCTATCCGGGCAATAACCACCTCCTGGCTCTTCGCCTGGTCTGTCACCTTGATCCCGTGTCGCACCTGGATGTGCTTCTCCAGGATGAGGCGGCTGCTGAAGGTCCGTTTCCCCTCGGTGCAGTACCTGCCGGCAGAGCAGGCGTGACGCCGCGCTGCGCAGCCGGGAGCCGAGCCCCGTCCTGGGAACCCTTGGCTCTGGCATCCTGACCACCCACTAACCCCAAACGGGCTCGTCCAGGTTCCTCCAGAGGGTATAAAACTCCAGAGTCCCTCCCAGTACCTCCTTTCCCTCCTACTTCCAAGACACTTGTTCAATCCCGATTGTTCTTCAACCAC